ATTCAAGGACAATCTAGGATTCGCATGTCGTATACCCTATGATCTTTGTCATATTCTCTTTGTCTCTCAGCCAGGCTCAGCGAATAGGAGCTCCAAGGTAAGATGAAGAGACATTGAGATGAAAGCATTTATCCTCTACAAATTGGACTGTTCAAGACTTCTCTACACAAACACAGATATCATGATTTGCAATTTGGAAAAGCAGTGATACGCGTCAGACGAATCCTCATGAAGCTAATGTGTTCTTGCTCGGACTCGCACATGCCGGACTGTCGGAGGCTTCTCATGCCGCAGATCAAGGAGGTCATTTTCGCCGTGTCCCAGACAAACAAAGCGAGAAGTAGCATGGATTACACCGGCTAAAATTCTCTCTAGCTACAAGTTACATCATTCCACTTGAGGCTGACGAAACGGATATACTTGACACGTCGTCAGTCGAGGATTGTTCACTCGTCTCACCGCCAAGGACGTATGTGAGCCTGTCCCTCTACCTATCCTGTCGCTTTCACCAAAAGCTATCTACGACATCATATCTTGAGATACGAAAAGAAACATGGCAACTGGGTTTCCTGTCAAAGATAAAATCGTGGCGATTACTGGCGGCGGTTCTGGTAGGTTCCATTTCCCAGACTTCTTCATTTCCTCCCTGCGACGGGGGCAAATTCTACAACGAACCCCTTGAACAAAACACGCAGACGAAAGCCTGATGGATTGATTAACCTCGTCAATGCAGGTATCGGACTCTCCTGCGCTCAGACCGCGTTGGACGCGGGTGCGAAGGCCGTCATCGTCGCGGATCTGCGTCTGACACCGGAGGCCGAGAAGCTGGTCACGGCAAACAAGAACGTCGTGTTCGAAACGTGCGACGTGACCAAATGGAAAGACCTGCAGCATGTGATTGATGCCAGCGAGAAGCATTTTGGGGATGTCCCAGATGTTTACATTGCCTCGGCGGGCGTGTTTGAACCTGTAAGTCGCATGTCCGTCCCAGTGGAGTAGGATCGGAGAAACATACATGTGTCCCCTCTATATTTACGCTGGCTTACTCGCGAGTGAGAGAACAGCCGTACTCCAACTTCTGGGACGACCCGGAAGGGTTGGACGCGGATGGCTACAAGGCCGTCGACATCAACGTGAATCACCCGGTGAGTTTGTTGCGGTTGTATCACTCTTGATCCCTGTTGACGACATTTGACCTGGCAGATCAAACTGACTCGGCTTGCCATGCGCGCACTCCTGGGCAAGTCGAAGCGTGGTGTGGTCGCCATTCTGGCGTCCATGGCGGGCTACATCAAACAGTATCCGGCTCCCATCTACGTGGCCACAAAGCATGCGATGGTCGGGTTCACACGTAGCTTGGGAGATGCCGAAGCCCTACAGGGTGTCAAAGTGGTGGCGATATGTCCTGGGTAGGTCTTCCGCTCTCCCTGATACCATATCATCTTTTTTCCCTTTTGCGGACCGTCCATCTTACTGATCCAACATAGAATTGTGTCGACCCCGATTTGGACGACCGGGACCCCAGGGTCCGGAAAGCGCTTCGGCATTACCGACCAGGTCAGCATCACCGCAGATCAAGTGGCCAAGGTCGTCCTTGACACGGTGGAATCCGCCAAGTACCCTGGAGGGACGATTGTGGAAGTCTCGATGCTCGGTACGCGGGTCATTCCTGAATGGAATATTGCCCCGCCAGGCGGTGTTGAAGGGGAGACGGCCGAGGGGTCGGCCACGCCAGAGGATGCAATTCAACGGGTCATTGGGTCAATCTTGCAGGTCACCGAGAAGGAGAAGGGAGCTCGATTGTAGAGCATTCGACCTGAGGTCAGCGGCGGAGCAATGCCTAAAGAGTTCCAAGAAGCCAGCCGGTAGACTGTGCGAAACGACTTTATGTCCATTTGCTGCTTGCTGAATGCTTTCACCCAGGCTGCATGGGCAGACGTCATACTTCTGTTCCCAAATATGCCGAAACAGGCGTTGTGGCGAGAGCGTACACAACGAAAATACCTAGTTGACCCCGTACGAGTTTAAGCAGATCGAGTATCTCAAAAGACGGCCTATGAAGCCTGTCCACGGTCCGTGGATCTTGTCCTGTAACGGTGGGCCTGGTCGTGCGAACAGGAGGCGGGCGGTCGTTGCTCGGAGGAAGTTCTGCCGACCACCCGGCTCGCATTGTCGCTTCCTCTCCTCTGTTTTTAGGTGGGTATGACGGTAGATCTTGTCGTGGCTGAAGATTAAGACTAGTATAGTAGCTGACTCGTCACGACTGCTGTCGAAGTTTCTTTTGAACGCCTGAAAGACAATTAGAGAAGGAGCTTGGCAAACTGTCAATGCTGAAATACCAAGGTGCTCAAAGAGGAACGAAGCAATAAGATCTGAGTCGGGAAATTACGAATAATATGGATGAAGAAGTCACGCCAAATTCTGGGGCAGAGGGTTCAGCTGGGGCATCTGGCACAAATCCTGTCAAAGAACAGGAGGTGGAAGAAGTGCTCGCCGATGACACGGTATTGATCATTGGAGGCGGTCCGGTAGGAATGATGACTGCGACCGTCCTGGCTTTCTACGGGATCAGATCTATTGTGCTCGAACGCAACTTCACCACCACTCGGTAAGGGGTCGGCATAGTCAGCATTTTTTATTAGCAGAACCCTCGTACTGACGACTTGAAAAGATGGCCCAAGATGGACCTCACCAACGTTCGATCCATGGAATTCTTCCGAAAGTTGGGTCTTGCTGAAGGCCTTCGGGAGCGAGGTAATTATCAAAGCATACTATCTGCGTCTACCTGCTGAACAAGTCTGAAGGTGTCCCTTCCCACATCCCCTATACCGTCCTCATATCTAGTGGACTGAGTCAAGATTCTGCCATCACACAGTGGAATCACCCCAGTGTCGACGAATACCGGCAGATGATTGCCGAAAGAAATGATGGCACGATGCCGCTAGAGCCGTGGCAGCGCATCTCGCAAGAGATATTCGAGGCGTGGCTGAAACAACTGTCAGAAGCCAACGAGTTGATCGACTTGCGCTTTGGCTGGAAGCTCGAGACCATTCAGGAGACAGGAGAAGGCGTCGAAGCGACGGTGACTGACCTCAACTCCTCCAAAATAGTGAAGTTCAGGTCCAGATACGCCGTCGGATGCGACGGGGCTTCCAGTCGAGTTCGGCGAAACTTGAATATACCACTTGACGGTGGCCCGGTGTAAGTAAATCGCTGAAGCGGCAGGTATTATTGGCACTAACGGTACTTTCTTCAACACCAGGCCTGGATTTGTGCTACTAGTACACTTCAAGTCCAACGACCTAGCAAGGCTTCACAAGCAAGGTCGGTTCTGGCATCTATTCATGGCTGGAGAGCACGTCATGGGTGGAGCTACGATCTCTCAAGACGAAAAGGCGAGCTGCTAGGTCACTTTTATCCCACCAGAGTCGCTACTGACATGTCCTAACAGGACACCTTCACCACGCATCTTTTCCTACCGATGGACGCTGACGAGTCCGCCACTGGCACCGAAGAAGCAGTCTATCGTGTCCTAGGGGGAATGTACCAGCCATACGAAGTGAAGATCGACCAAGTATTGGTACGCTCGACCTACAGACCTAGCGTGGCAGTTGCTCGCCAGTACTCCAGTCCCCAAGGGTGGATCTATCTAGCGGGCGACTCTGCGCATCAAAATATTCCTACTGGTGGATATGGTATGAACATGGGCCTCGGAGACGCGTACGATATTGGCTGGAAGCTGGCGGCGGTGTTGCAAGGGTGGGCAGGCAAGGGAGTCCTGCAGTCCTATCAAGAGGAGCGTCGACCGGTCGCTCTGACCAACGTGGAGCGGTCAGGAGTACACATGGCGGTGCATGGCGCCGTACCCAACATTTTGAAGGGGTTCGCCAACGAGCTCGACGCTGACACTGACAAAGGGCGCCAGCTGCGGCAGGAAATTCATCAGCATTACCAGGCTAACGATGGCGAAAATACAGACCGTGGCATTGAGATGGGCTACCGGTACAAGTCTACAATCACGATCCCCGACACAACGACGAAAGAACCCAATTGGACAGCGCACGAGTATGTCCCTACGACCTGGCCGGGAAGTCGGCCACCCCATGTCTTTCTCGAGGACGGCAAGACCGCCATCTTCGACCTATTGGGCAAGTACTTTACGCTGGTCCACTTCATATCTGGAGACACCGACACAGCTGGACATGCAGAGTACTTCGACGAGGCGGCCAAGACGATGGGAATTCCCCTTGAACACGTTATCTTGAAGAACGAAGACCACGCCCGTACGTTGTGGGAGCGGGATCTGGTACTTATCCGACCCGACGGCCATGTAAGTTGGAGGGGCGATACCATATCGCATCGGTCCACAGCGTTTCACGTCTTGGAAGTGGCAGTTGGGCACCATTTTGATGAGGCCAGTAGCACTATTGCTCAGCAGAAGACTGACGTTAATGGGGAAGCGGACAATAAACCGGGAAAGGAGCAACCGAGAGAATTCACCCTGGTCGGAGAGGTCAAGAGTCAAGACAGTGAGTATCAACTGGACAAGATGGGCGAATTCCAGAAGTGAAAGAGGCTCACAGATCACATTGTACGAGGATGTTCGGTGCTGAATGGATGTGTTGCTTGATGGATCTCGTCCGTGCGATGGCGTTTCCCACCATTCACCAATAAGCTTCCAAGCGATCAATAGAGCCAATCAGATAATCAGCGTCGTTTTTGACTATACCTTTTTTTGCTTTCTCCGAGTTTCTGCATCAATGCGGTTCCGGAATCTGGCGAACTTCCCCGGCTTCCGAGGCCCGGACTTGGAGGGAGAAGTCGAGGTACGACGATAGTTAACCGACATTGGATCCGGCAATGGAATCATGGAGTCTTTGGCCGCAGCGAGACATCGACGCTGTGTTTCTTCTTCGCAAAGGTCTTGTGTGTCGTCCTTACACTCTTGACGCCGCCCGCCATTCCACCATCTTGCTCACGCACATATCATCTTGGGAGACATGACGGCTCACAAATTCAAGCGCCTCGTCCGATTCGAGGACTCGAGCCGGACTGTTCATTATGGAGAAGTCCCTGCGAGTCACGGGTGGTCCGATGATTTGACGGGGCTTTCTGTCCCGACTTACAGCGGCGGATTGCCCTGGGAGAGCGGCTTCAAGCTCACTGGGACGACCGCCACCATTGCCAAAGTCTTGAGGCCCATCGAGACGACACCCATCGTCTATGGCGTTGGGCTGAATTATCGTCAACATGCGGAAGAGGCGAAGGTAAAGCTGGTGCGCCCCAACTACGGGAATAAGCCCACTAACTCTCCCAACAAGATCCCCCTGCCGCCTTACCCTATGATATTCGTCAAAGGGGCCGGGTCTTGTGAGTAGACGCTTTCCTTCTTTTTGTACAGAACTCAGCTGAACTTAGTCTCCGTGTGACCAGCCGCATTGGCAGATCCATACGAAGACATCCCCATCCATAAGGAGGCCCAATTCATGGACTACGAGGTAGGCAGATACACTCTTAACCATGATCATCCTTCACTTGCCACTGTACTCACTCGTCTATTGCCTGTTGCAGGGCGAATTGACCATCATCTTCGGCAAAAAGGCCAAGGATCTGACCGAGTCAGACAACGTCGCCGACTACTTGCTCGGCTACACGGTCGGTAACGACGTGTCGTCGCGGTACTGGCAAGACCCCGTGCGGGCGGGCGGACAGCACGGCTACGCCAAAGCCTTTGACAAGTTCGCGCCCATTGGACCTATCCTGGTGTCGCCAGCACAGATCCCCGATCCGACCACGCTCACGATGAGGACCATCGTGAATGGCCAGCAGCGCCAGATCACAAAGACGGACGATCTGATCTTCGACATTCCTGCCATTGTCCGGCATTTGACGCGTGGCAGGACGATCGAACCCGGCACGGTGGTCTTGACAGGGACGCCGAGCGGAGTGGCGGCGTTCATGAAGCCACCGGCATGGCTGCAGAATGGGGACGTGGTGGAGGTTGAGATCTCTGAGATAGGGAAGATCCGGAACAAGATGGTGTTTGACTCAGCTTCATAGCTAAGTAGCTAGCTAGCTAGCTAGCCAGGCCTAATTGAATAGTTTGGGACACTCAGCTAGCCCTGAGGTGCTATCTGTCTTTCCAGTCTTCATCCCTTGACGATCTTACTGATCTTGGTCTCAATCACGGGTCCCTTCCCTCCTTCACTCACAATAAACCGACTAGCCCCAACGAACCGGCTGGTCTCGAGACTTTTGAAATTCGGTGCACCAGTCTTCAGCATCAAAGTCAGTCTGAGTCACCATGCCATATGTCATGTCTGAGGGACAACTGACCTCGAATGTGATATGTGTGACTGGAAAGAGAGAGATAATATTAGCGAAACGGTTCTCTTATCCTACTCCCGACCTGATTTTGGAGGGTACTCACACACGTGTCCAAAATCCGTCGTCTTCGCTTCCGGGCTGCCAGTCAAGATGAGACCGAAAGCAGGAGTTATTTCGATATGTCCTGTGTAGGCATACGAGATGGTCTACATAGCTCGATGTTATTTTGGATCGAAGAACAGAAACACAACCGAGAGAGAAACGCACTGTGCCATCTTCATTTCTGCCAGCCAGGTCGCAAATTAATGATTGAGTATCACAAAGATTTGAGATTTGCTTGTACTTACTTCAAAGCAGCCTTGACGTCGATAGTAACATACTTCATATCATCGGTGACTTTGAAGTGGTCGGTGCCGAATAGCACTTGAGCATCCACGGCAGGCTCAAAGCCTGGCTCGCTCTTCAAGGTACCCGCGTTGATGAGCTATATTCAGTAGTCAGCAGTCGGTAGAATCAGACTGCGGTTCCCCTTTTCCGAATGCTATCCTTCTCTGAGTGAGAGACTGGAGCGGTGGGCATTGTGGGTCTATTTACCGCGATATATAGCTGGCTGCCGCTGTTGATTTTGCCTGCCACCACTGGTCAACTGTTGCGGATGGATTTATTCCAGGGTTCGTTACATACCAATGACCACCGGTGCATCGAATGTAATCTGCGATATCATGAACTGTCAATGATCTTGGGACATTGACCGGATAGGGAAACACTTGCCTGCGCGGTAAATGCGGGTTGTAAAGCTGCGAAGCCCGACATATTCACGGACAAGGAGAAGTAGAGGTCGAATAACGAGCTCTCCTACTAAGATGAGGAGCTCTCAATGGTAGACACCTGTCAAATTTCTCTGCTGTGTAGATAATGAATGGGAGTCTTGTCCGGCAGGTGTAACTGTGAGTTCTGATGCGACTTATCATTCGGCGACTCCTGCAACGTAGGGCGTCGGAGCATATGCCACCTTAGGTCGACGGCCTGCCATGAAGGACCGGAGAAAACTTGCACATACCCCGGATGGTTTCTGTGACAGGTTCAACCGTCTACGTACATGGCTACTTTAACCTTCAATGACCTTTGGTCGACGAGCGTCATTCCAGAGAGCTAGTGGTTGACAAGTACCCTATAATTGCCTGGCTATTTCTTTCACATTAGGGAACGCATCAGGTATAATATTTAAAGGAATACAGCGAGAGACAGGGAAACTTGATGATTTCCTCATTTCTTCGTTTCTCCCCATAACTATACTACGTTTTCTAGACAGTCTCGCCCTCCTTTAAGCTCATATTCTCCTGCACCTGCAGTCCGCTGGTAAAATCCGACTTCCCAGTGGCCATGTTTGTCGGGAATGAATAGTGTTCGTGTACATATTTCCATACCCCGTCGACCTTGCGCATGACCGATGTCGTCCGGTACGTCAAGTTGAATGGCTCACCATCGGCCGCAGTGCCGTAATAGTTCTGATGAGCTGTGGCGTAGCCGCATTCGGGCGTGATGGCGATGATTTCCAGATCTTTAATGCGCAAGTTCGCCCGGGCCAGGTACGGAGTAATGCGGTCGTAGTGAGGGCGGAATCCTGGCCGCGTGACCGCCCCCATCAGATCAAAATAGTTGGCCTCGTCCAGGTCGTAGAAGCGCTTTCCCGCGTCCGGGTCTTTGTCCGCCACATAGTTGCAGAAATGGGAAAAGTCCTTCCAGTGCTCGAGGATTTCATCTTCGACCTTTGCAAGTTTCGGATTGTGGTCCTGTACAGCGCATCGATTCAATGACAATGTCGTTCGTCTGCTGGGAAGACGCAACCTACCTTGCTTGGTGGGTACGACAGCTTCTTCAACAAATCGGCATTGCTAGTCGCGAGATCGTCCTACTATTGTGTCAGTAGTGGCTGCGAGTCAAGCTCGTTGTCCGCACCTCGGTGAGCCACGACATGGTTAAGACACGCCCTGTGATGACAGCCTCAAAGAAGTATAGTATCAGTTGTCGAATTCTATCTTGAATACTGTCTGGAATTTGACCGGCTCGATATATCAAGTTGGACTTCAATAAATCTAAACGTCCCAATGGATCTGTTCCTAGTTCGATTGGTTCGGACCCTGCAATTCTGTGGACAACCCCCCAACGGAAGCCGGAGCAAGACTAACACAACGGCCGGCGGCCATGACCAGTACCCACCACGTTTGGAGCCACCGTCCCCATATGACGAATGCATCATACATACCTACGGTTAATTGGCCTTCAGCTATCTTCTTCCGGCCTTCGCATACTGTCCAAGCAAGAGGAAACACGATATACAAGGTTACTCAAGTTATCAGGGTCAGTCTATCACAAACATCTCTAAGACACCCGTTCAACGTCGCTCAAGATGACCGTGGATTTTGATCGCCCGTTTCAAAAAGTCACCTCTCCGCAGAAACTAGCCCATGTCGTCTTACGCACGCCACGCTTCAGGGAGATGGTGGACTTCTACAAGACCTTTCTGGGGGCGGAAGCCACGCACGAAAACGACTTCATCTCCTTCCTCACCTACGACGATGAGCACCATCGGATCGCGATAGGAGCGGTTCCCGGTACCTCGGACAAGATCAAGACCTCGGCCGGCCTGGAACATATCGCCTTCTCGTTTGCAACCCTCGAAGAATTACTGCTGGCATATAGGCAGCGAAAGGCCAAAGGGATCCTACCTATATGGAGTGTCAATCACGGTCCCACCACCAGCATCTACTATCAGGATCCAGACGGGAATCAGATCGAGACACAGGTCGACAACTTCGACACGGTGGAGGACACAAATGCATTCATGGCGTCTACAGAGTTTGGCGAGAACCCAGTCGGGGTCGACTTCGATCCAGAGGATATCATCAAGAAATTGCAAGCCGGTCATGATGGTCGGGAATTGAAGAAGAGACCAAACATCGGTCCTCGAGGGCTGGATTCGATACCTGTTCCCCCGCCGCCTACGCCCATCAAGGGCCATTGAGCGGACCCTGGTCTGGATAAAGTGCATGATAGCTTTGTTAGAATACTTTATGTCTACTTTGTTCCTGTCCCCGAGTTCGCTTGTCCATTTGATAAATCTAAAATGGCTTCAAATGTACTGCGAAGAATTTAGAGACGTGGGCGTGTGGTATTATCGTCGTCCTCATTCGACCTTTTCTTTCTCCAACAGAGCCAGGATGCGTCTCTCTACGTCGTTCTGCTCTGGCTTAGTCCCAGCTCCGGCAGGCGGCTCAGCGTTAAAAGCAGGAACGTTCCTCCATTGCTGCCCTTTGACAACCTCCAAGACAGTCCCCGCTGGCCATTGGCTTGATTCCACCAAGGATTTCATCCCGAGGGCAATCTCGTCCGGCAGAGCGCAGACGTCTTTTGTGATGCCATACTCCTGCATGGCTCGGGGCGCGTCGGTCCATATCCTCGTATAAACCATACTGCATGAAAGGCGTCAGTGGGAGATTGTTCAATGATTAGCCGGACCATCTGTATGTTCGGTCCAGAAAGCAGTGTCACTTACCCCGGAGCGCACGCGACCACTTTGATATCGGCAATCTCGTCCAAGTCTGCCATTGACCGCGTGAAGCCGGTGACGGCGTGCTTTGAAGCCACATACAGTGGGGCGGTGAAGTTGGGCGTGTACCCTGCCAGCGAGCCTACGATCATGATGACGCCCTTCTTCTTGTGCCGAAGAAGCTCACGGATCCCGATGCGGGTGAATTGGATGGCGTGCCCGACGTTGACGTCCAGCAAGCGGTATCTGTCGTCTTCGAGGTCCTCCCAGAAATTAGACGGCCCTCTCTGTTGATGTGTCAGTCTGGGTACTATAGCATCGTATCATGTGGCAAGAAATGGTTTCTCACAGCTTCGAATATTCCAGCACCGGCAACGAATCTGCAAAACGGACTCAAGTCAGTTCCCAAGCTCACGATATCTCAATCTGGCTCGTCATAATACTCACAAGTCAGGGACCTCGCCAAATGCCTGTTCTGACACCCTGGCCAAGGCTTTCAGCTGATCCCATTGTGCCACATCTGTCTCCTGATAGACGACTTTGCATTCTGCCCCTTTTACCTCTTGCAGCCATTCCTCTAGCTCTGGTGTGGAACGAATGTCTGCTGCCAACACTCGACAGCCACTTTTCTGGCAGAGTTTCGCGAACTCGAGGTTGATCCCTACAGATCCAGATCTGTCAAACTTTCCGAGGTCTCATTCTTACGCTGCACAAACAAGAAGGGAGATTACCTGAGCCTGCGCCTGTTATCACGGCAACTTTCCCATCGAGACTGAAATCCCCCAAGACCATGATGGATGGGATGCCTATCTAGCTACTCTTTCAATGGTATATGCTAATGCCTATCAGACTGTATCCTGATTACCGACTATGAGAACCAGACAATCAACTTGGGGTTAAGACTGGACAACGTGACAAGAACATGACCAATTTCGACGTCGGATCACTTAGGGGGAAGAGGCTATCACCGATTCCGCTCCCCTTCAGCAATGAGGTGGAGAAAGCAGGTCACGGGCAAGCAGGCTTGATCCCACCCTCCTCCATGTCCCCGGACCTGCACGCTATATGCTCCGGAGACAATTGCTCCACGTCACACCCCAGGGTCGCCCCTATGTGCGGCAATACACAACACTCTGAGGTCAGATATCTCCCGTGGCCCAGTTTGTCGATCTCGGAGGGCCGGAATCCCTAAATGGCAGATAAATGACCAAAGCAACATCCTGGGTAGGGCACCTGATAATGTGAAGCTCAGAGGTTGGAAGAGACTCTACAATTACAATCCGACCATCGCTGTTGCTCCCCTCACATCTGCAAGCCGAGAAGAGACTTTGGCTACACAGCCTCCACCATCATGTATGCCGTGATAGCTGTGGTCGTCGTTCTGGCGGCCCTGATCATCAGGTTTCGAAACCTTGGCATGAGACCCAAGAATTACCCTCCAGGTACTTCCACCCTCTGATGGTCGATACTTTCGATGACATGCTGAGACAATGCCTCAGGGCCACCGACGATCCCCGTCTTTGGGAACCTCTTCCAAATGCCCAGGAGTAAACTGCATGAAGGCCTGGCAAAAATGTCGGAGCAATGTAGGAGTTTCTCCATCTCCTAGGAACAGCTGCTAACACCCATCAGATGGCCCCATCATGGGATTGAAGCTGGGGGCCATGGATATGATTGTTATCAACTCGTACACGACGGTCAAAGATCTCTACGACAAACGGAGCAGCATCTATTCGAACCGCGTGGACAATTACTTGCGCAACTTTGGGTACAACCTGATGATCTCGAATCGAGAGTAAGTTTGCAACCAACTTCCGTGGAGCAAGAGTTGCCAGATAACAGATCCTGATAGTAACGATGATGTGTGGCGTCGTCAACGAAAGATGTATCACACGGCTCTAACGAGCACGGCAGCGACTCGATACTTGCCCTATCAGGTACGCTCTACCGGCTCTTCATATAAAGGCATCTCGAGACTCACATGTTCGAAAGCGATTTGAATCAATCCAGTTGCTATGGGACTTACTGAACGCTCCGTATGACTCTTTTGACGCCCTCAAGCGCTACACCACCAGCACCGGATCCACCATCACTTACGGCTGGCGAGTCAATCGGGCCGACAATCACTACGTGACACGCCTTTTCGAATGGATCGAATCCTACACTCTCGTGGGCATTGCGACTCAGGTTACCGAGTTCTTCCCTATGCTTCGGCCGATCGTGAAATACACGCCCAACTCATTGAACAAGCTGAACAAAGAACTCTCCCGACTCACCATCATGGAACGAGATCTTTGGCTCGACCTCCTCCGTGAAGCCAAGTCCAAGGTTGACCGAGGAAAGCTGAACCCGTGCTTCGCGGGCGACATGCTCACCAACCAGGATAAGGACGGGCTTAACGAGATGGAGATGGCGTTCAACGCAGGCCACGCGTGGGCGGGAGCCTCGGACACGACGTTCAACACGCTACACGGTTTCGTCAAAGCTATGATTTTGTATCCGGAGGTACAGCAACAGGCTCATCTGGAGCTGGACCGGGTGGTTGGTGCCGACAGGATGCCGGAATGGGAGGACCGAAACCAGCTGCCGTATGTCAGGGCTATAGTCAAGGAAAGCTTGAGGTGTAAGAGTCCCGGAGTCTGAAGAAACGGTCGCAGACAAAAGATACTGACCTCAAACTTTCGGCGCGGTCTAGGGTGTCCAACTGCCGTTTTGGGGATCCCACACGCGGCAGCCAAGGACGACGAGTACATGGGGTATAAGATCCCCAAAGGAGCATCCGTGGTTCAAAACGTGGGAGACATCAAACCCCGACTGAGAAGTTGTTCTTACTGACCAGTTCACTCTCTTTCCAGATATGGGGCATCAACAATGACCCCGTCCGCTACCCGAACCCACGCAAGTTCGATCCACTGCGATACATTGACGACAGGATGCTCTCACAAGAGTCGGCCGCCCAGGCGGACCCGGCGCTGCGCGACCATTTCACGTTCGGCTCTGGTCGCCGCATCTGTCCCGGCATGCAGGTCGCCGACCGCAGTCTATTCATGGTGATTGCGCGCATGCTGTGGGCTTTCGACATTGAGAGGGTGGGCGACGAGGTCATTGAAAACGACGCCATGACCACCGGTCTGGTTGCGGGGCCGATGCCGTACAAGTCCAAGTGCGTCCCGCGAGACGAGGAGCGGGCCAAGTTGATCGCCGACTCGTGGAAGGAGGCCGAAGGCTGGCTCGACGAGGAGAGAAACTACAGTCAGGCGTGGTACGAGAAGGAGTTCTGGAAGAAATGACGGCCACATTGGAACAGAAGACACAACATTTCGTTTAACATGTTCGCCATCGGTTCTGTGGATGATTCTACGAATGGTGCTGCGTGAACCTGCCAACTGGGCAAGCCGAGATCCAAACATTGTTTCAATCTCGAGAGAAGTAGCTCAAGCATGAAGTTTTCCTCCTTGTATCAACCGCGTTGATCAAATCTCGACACTCTCCAGAGCGCAACAGTCCTCGGGTCTCAATGTTTCTCACAGTGAGCAGACCTCCGCCCCCAATAGGGATGGTCAAATGCCCCCCACAAAGGTTGGAGCGGGGTCCCCGAGAAACCGGGGAGGAAACTCATCGAAAATGGCTTAGTCACCCCGGAACAAGATCCACCGCGACTCCCGATTGGCTGAAGAGATGACGATAAGGGGGAGGGGGTGGAAAATGTATCGTATCTGGGTACCGAGTACAATACCTTTACGAGGCTATTAAACCATGACATGACACCAAATTCTCACTGGAACTGGAGCTCTCTAGCGTTTGGAATCCATTCTCGGCCTTGGGATCAAAATTTATTGAAGAGAAGCAAAACTGATAGGTTCTGCCCTCTGTTTGGCAACCTTACAAACAATCAAATTCAGCTAAACAGAAAAGCCAGCCATGACCGAGACATCGAATGGGACGGGTGGAGCTCCCCCCGAGAACCCTTCTCACCCAATAACCATGCTGGCGTTTGTCACGCGGAATGAAAATCTGTCGGTCGAGGAGTTCCAGAAACATTGGATAGAGAAGCACGGACCCCTGGTGGGGGGATTCCTGTCGTCCAAGGGAGTTCTGAGTTATCGGCAGGTACGTTGAATTCGGCTACCACCTTATCTGCAAAAGATTGATGAAACCGTTGTTGATCCTCCCCCCCTCATCTAGTTCCACATCGACCAGAGCAACAATCCCCTTGGTTACGACGGGGTCGTTCAGCTGCAAATCCCGTCCCTGGAGACCTGGGCCAAGATCTCGTCGGACAAATACTACCAGGACGTCGTCGTGCCGGACGAGCAGAGATTCTTCCAGGCGGCCAAGATGGTCATCCTCACGGGGAAAAACTATTCGGTCGTCGAGGGCGGGCAGTATGTGCTGAACAAGTAGCTCGACGACGTGAAATGAAAGAATGGTGAAAAGAGGTAGCTTAATGCCCAACCAAAAGGGGAGAACCTGAGTCGTCCAAAGCCATGCTATGCCCGTTCTTGGTGTAAATAGTACATGTTGTGGCGACTGGTCTTACTTAATCGTTACTGAACCGCTTCCTAGAAATTCATGAATAAATACTCTGATCCGACTTATCCGAGTCTTGCGAAAGTGGGTGTGTAATACAACTTGAATGGTAAAATGATTTATGAGCAGTGGACAGAGAGGATCAAGCAGGCCGCTTACGGAGTGAGTGATATGTCCTTCTTCCGAGTCCTGGGTGCGTTGGATTCGGCTACCAATAGATCGTGCCGGCATCATGACAAGGACAAGCCGAATTGGCTCCAGAATCCTTTTTTCCGGCACCGAATTGCTCCAAACTTATTTTGTTTTATTTATTGTTCGTGGTATTGACCCTTTGCACATTCTCCGTCGCCATCTCGAATACAACCATCTCAGGCTGAGGTCCGGGCTAAATCGCAACCATCAACCACGCACACACAAAGATGCTTGACCCACTCACGTCCCAGCGACCACCGACGGTCACGGAGATGCCATACGATGAAAGCGTCATGTTTACCATATCCACGTTTATTCCTTATATCGGTTGCATCCTCTTCGCACTATACCAGCTGATATTCCGATTCGACCCCACAAGCACCCTCTTCATGCTCGGCGGCTCGCTGTGCGTGGTGCTGGACCCATTGATCAACGCGCTCGGGTGCTGCTATTTCGCCAAAACCGACTTGATATTGCACGCCCACGATGGTCGACCGATCCCTTGGTTCATGTTGGCTTCGTACGGCACATTCAACGGCGGTTTTGGATACTGGTGGTTTACCAAGTTCCGGAGCCAAAAGGCACCCATGACGGCCGGCGGCGTGTGGAAGCTGTGGGCATTTGCCTACGTCTCGAATCTGTTCCTGGAGTACCCGGTCAACCAATGGGGTCTGCAGTCATATTTTGGATATCAACCCTTCAAAGTACTCGGAATGCCTTTGTGGTTTCCCGCGGTGAACTCGACGATGCCGATTGTGGCGGCTTCCATAATCAACGTTCTAACAAAGGCCGAAGTCTTGAAGGGTTGGAAGAAACTCGCAATCATCTTGATCATCCCGTCGGCGGATATTCTGGCAAATGGGGCAATGGCCTGGCCAGTCTGGATTGCCCTGGCGGTGGATGAGGGTTACCATATTTCCTACCCGATGGGAATTGTCACTTTTATCTTGGTCGCAATCTCTCTGACGCTCGTTGGTCTGCAATTTGACGGCCCTGAGGTTTCGTCGAACAAAAGTAAAGGCAAACAGAACGGCAAAGCCAGGTGACTCGTCTATGGATGGTCGTGAAACCAGCAGACCCTGCATTCCTTCTTCGGGATATGGGAAAAGGCCATAGAAGGAGCCCATGGCGAAGGTTTCACTGTTGAAATCGAAGGATGAAGTGATCACGCATACAGCGGTTCTGACTTACCTTTCCTAAATTGCGACTGTGATCTTTATTCCGAGGACATCGAACCTCACTTAAATAGAAAGTCAAACCTAAATCTCATGTTTCTGTAAAGTTGAAGTAGATTCAAGGATGCCATTTACTTCCATGCCTTTGGCCCTGATACGTGAGCCGATTAAAGGCCAATTCTGAAGTCACTACTTCCTTCCGGACGCCGGATTAATGGAGGATGACTGACAATCAATATATTTGAAAACCATCTGGCCTGATCCCTTTCCCCAACACCAAAGTCGTATTGCATGAATTTGTCTTGCACGATTCCAAATTCCACTACCAACAATGGCCACACGAACGACACCGTATAAAATCGCCATCTTCGGTCCTGGTGATGCCGGTTGTATAGTCATCCGCGAAGCCACTCGCCTACCAGAATTCCAGGTCGTCGGGGCCTTTGTGTTCTCCGACAAGAAAAAAGGTGTTGATATTGGAACTCTGGCGGGCATCGAGCCCCTTGGGGTCAAGGCTACCGGCAACTGGGACGAGTTCCTCAAGATCGACTGTGACGTGGTGGTCCACACAGCCTTGGACGCTCCCTTCCTGGACCCGCTCGCTGACTTTGTGCGACTACTGGAAGCGGGTAAGAACGTCGTTACAAGCCATCCATACAGTTATCTACCCGCTCGAGATGCAGCTTTTGGAGAGGGTATCAAGAATGCGTGCAAACGAGGCAACGCGACGTTCCATGCCACGGGGCTCAATCCCGATCTGATGACCCAACGGGTAGTTACTTTACTATCTGGCCTGTCCAACGACATCACGCGCATCGAGCTGGAGGAATACTTCGACTGTCAGGATCAAGCGAATGCGAGCGTGTTGCAAGTCATTGGCCTCGGAGGAGATATTGCGGAGACGATCGATGAGAGCAGTCCGGCTATCTGGTACCAGAAGCATTACAACTACCAAATGATCCATCATGTTGGGCGGGAGTTCGGGGTCAAGATTGATCGAATCGAAGCGACCAAGCAGTGCCTCGAGGCACCGGAAGACATTGTCCGGCCCGTCATGACCGTCAAGAAAGGCCAGACAGCCCTCATCTCATATACTTCCACCGGATATACCGACGACAACAAACCGTTCATTAGCATCAAAATTACCTACTTCTTTAGTCAACAGATGAAGCCGGCCAAGCTTGAAAAGGACAACGTATACATCGTCACTATAGAGGGGAGACCATCTTCACGCACGGTTCTGAGTCTGAAAACCTCGTATCTGACTGATGCGACAACTATCGAGGGCGAACCTGCAGCTCCGGCCTACCTGACCTTTGCGGTGGCTTTACTCCAAGCGGTGCCAATGGTTGCGGAAGCTCCTCCGGGCTTCAAGGCTCCCGATGTACCTGAAGTACATTGGAAAAAGGACCAGAGAATGCATGTGGCTTCATGCTACAATGAGATCTAGTCAGGGAGGAGAGCATTGCTTGCAAGGGTAGACGGAGGAAGGAGAAGGAGACATTTTAGTATTTGCTATCGTTTACGGGTGACAGAGAAAACCCCTGGGCTTGCCTGCTGGAGGGAACCTGGTACCACTGAAGCCTTGGGTATGGGCTGCGAAGCCCAACCCTCACAGCTGAGATGACGGTACGATTGCGGGAGCACTCCCTTTGCAGATCTTCCTCTGCTCCTTCATCTGGGGAAGGGAAGGTTCATGCCTGCGAGGCTGTTACCCCTTTTGGGCTAGCTGGTGAGACCACATAGACACCAATAGTACACTTGAACTAGACCTCTTCTGCACCACCAATTCCGCTGTTAGAATAAGAGACTGAGATTGAGATTTCTGCTCCGGGTCCGGAATGCAAAAGAGATGGTCAGATCCGACTGGTTCCAACCAAGAAAAACAAAGTACAGTCCCTTGCAAAATTACCTTCACCCCAAAGACAACTCGAGGCTATCTCCGCCCCACTCCAAGTTCACGTGGCTCGGATGCATTACTTTATCCACTCTAGGTGTGGTTGTTGAAACCACCAATCATAAAACGTCCTCAACACCTCAAGTTTCGACAGTCCGCGTATGGTACCCGTAATATTTCACCTATCATTCCGTGACTGCGGTAGGTCAACCGAGAAATCTAAGAGCAGCAACAGATCGGATTGGAACTGGACCACCAAGCGTGCGATACATATACAATAAAAGAACATTCCATCTCGATGTAACTACAAGCACTTGTATAATAGTTCAGTAAGATAGATCGGATGCTGCATTGTCCAACCGTACATGTCCTCGTTCGCTTCGAAACTCAGCCTACTTCTTATTGCCCCGAGAATTCCGGAATGAAGAGTAGTGCTCCGTACACGCCCTGGTGGTAGGATGATCAGGTCCAAGGACTCGCCGATATCCAGCTATTGCTCTCTCATAGAAGATTGCAGCCTGGATAAACCGAGACCGTAACACCAGAAGGTATGCTAGGTTATACATACTAGTCAGCGTATCCGGATGCTCCTCCCCGAGCACCTTCCTCCTCCTGATCAGATAAGGTATTAAACCTCCGACGTTAAGTAATATATTACCTATACATTATAAAGCTATAGTGCATAAGTTTCATACTGTGTGCTGTGTAAGATGGTTGCAAGCGTAATGATATGGTGCATCATGAGGTTCTTTACCTTCTAACTTTGCTTCTAAACACATACCCGTACTGAAGCTCATATATCATTCCTGAGCCTTATGTCGGTTTCTCAGTGAAAACCTCCACTCATTTGCGATCATGCCGAGCCAGAGCGCTACCAAAGAACACCCGACCATAACTGTCGTGACTAATATCATGGTAGCAAACCAGTAGAATATCTGCCATAAGTAGCTCGACGATGGCCGGCCCGGATCGGCAGCGAGAGCCACCTGCATTGCATTCAGAATGGTCGTCACCACGGCAAAGATAAACAAGATCGGCCCATAGAGCCGTGCAAAGTACTCCCCGTATTGCATAGGGATATGTTCATAGGAGAGCCGGCCGAACAAAAGGGGAGCGTAGAGGTTAAGTCGGGATAGACGAAGCTCTCCATATTGATATCGAGCCGAAGCATCCCGATCTTCAATACTTTCGAGATCAGCTAAGAAAGTAGACATCTCCGTCCAGTTGAGCTTGATGGGGACCAGTCGCAGATGCTCTTGCTGCGCAATCCAGAGATCAGACTCGTACTGGATGAGGTAGCGATACGTCCGCAAGAAGCCAATGGCGGCACGTCGCACGGGCAATTGCGCAGTAAGTAGCGACGGTTGAGGTGGAAATACATGTGTCCAGAACGAGTGCGACAAAAGATAAGGAGGGAGCGGCTTGATGAAAATGCGATTATTGATCCATAACAAGTGAAGGCGCGGATCTTCGGTTACAACGATCTCTCGTCCGAGGACGTTTTGTTGGTAGAGAGGATGGATATTAGCGCTCGAGGGCGTAGTCAAGGTCCATAACCTCGATACGACGGCCTCGAGATCAGCGGCCTAGAGTTCCCGACTGAGAAATCTAGAAAGGGTGTCAGAATTAGAGAGGGATATAGTTGGATGACCAGGAACGTGCTGGGTCGCCGCTGGGGAGCCGGATGTTTCAAGATCAGGATAAAGTTGGTGAGGTTGTGAAAATGGAGATGCTCGGGGATATACCGTCATTGTAGTTTATCTATGGTGTCGACCACCGTATGTAACGATAGTTCCCGAGTATTGAATGATCATGTGCGCTGCAATAAAATGTTCAGACCCAGCGAGTAGATAAGGAGGGGCTGCCGAGCTGTTCGTCGAATCGGCTTTTCCTCTTTGAGAAAACCATCGTGGCTGTGACAGTTAGCTGGACGCAGGGAAGGTCTTATATTCAGCCTCTTAGATAGCCACGAAGTTACCGCCCAGTAAGGCCACGTCGGATATGTCGTCCACCAATAGAGTACACTGTGTAGTATGCCTACTGTTATATTGTGGGCCAAAGCCACCTTATCTTATTCAGTATAAGCCTCACAGGTGGTGAACTGACCATGGTACTTTCCATCTTCTGCCTACTCCAGTCGAGTCACTGACTTCAGCCTCAGGTGCGACCGACCACTGACGACGACACGGGGTTGAAAGTGCTGCGGGAGCCGACGTCGAGCCCGGATGCCGAGAATGGAGAGAAGATCATCGAGTGAGTGTAACGCCTAATGTGACTGGTTCAGCTCTCTAACATACGACAGCGTTGTCGCCGTCCACGGCCTCGGCGCGCACCCGGACGACACCTGGACCCAGAAACGCGGCGATGGCGATGAGGCGCGCTGGGTCAACTGGCTCGAAGAGAAGGACATGCTTCCAGAGGTGGTGCTAAACGCACGCATCATGCGGTACGGATACAAATCGGGCTGGTTTGGAGTAGATGCGATCAAGCAGTCGGCTCGAACGACTGCGGAGCGGTTTCTAACCGCCCTGAGACGAGAGCGAAAGGTAGGTAAGAGATGGACTTGAGGATAAGAACGGTGGACTGACGAGACAAGGGCTGTACCGATCGACCGTTGATATTCATTGCGCACAGTTTCGGCGGGCTCGTTGTACTCAAGGTCAGTGTATATACCAGAGAGACGGTTATGAGCTGATGAGAGGAATAGGCAGTATGCGATACTTACTATGACCGTAAGGAGTGGTCCGGCATGTTCGATGCGGTCCGAGGGATGGTGTTCTTCGGCACGCCGTTCCGCGGGGCCGATGGCATGAGCCAGAGCGAAATGGTGCAGGCGGCAGCACGAGAGTATACGGCAGAAGATATTGAGTAGGAGCCTCTCTACATCCTCGACCTAGGCAATGAGCTACTGCAAGACCTGGTGGATGATTTTCAGAAGCGAGTGTGGGTATAAATGCCTCATGCGCGTATCGCGTATTTCTTCGAACTCCAAGCAAGCGAGATTGGAGCAATCGTTAGGAAGCAGAGACGAAAGGTAAGATGAGTATATAATAGGATAATCGACTCATACTGATGTTGTGGAGGCGTTTACAGTTAATGAACGATCTGGGTGTCTCGACGTGTCAGACCGAGTGTCGAAACACCCGCTCGCGCGGACGCATTTCAACATGAACAAGTTTGGGCGAGCGACGGAAGAGGATTATTTGCTCGTGGCAGAAGTGATCGAACAGATGGCGAAAGATGCTCAACAGCAACTATCGGTGCCGTCGATGCAGGTCGCACCTGTAAGTGTATGGAAGAGTCAGATAACAGAATAACTAAAGCCCATTCTGTGTTGAAGGTTGTATCCGTGCCTTTGGAAACGACGTATGAACAGGCAAGCCGGCGGCGAGTCAACTATTTCCGAGGTCGCCAAAAGCAGCTGGAACGAATTCAGGAATACTTTACGGACGATGCCGCGGACGAATGTCGTGTGCTTATCCTCCAGGCGATGGGCGGACAAGGGAAGAGTTAGATTGCGCTCGAGTATTGTCGACAACGGCAGCCCACTTATGCGGAGATGTTCTGGATCAATGCGAGTTCGGAGACGATGGCCGTACAGTCGTTAGAGCGAGTGGCAGCGGAGATTAGGCAACCGCTGACGGGAATTGACGACACTCGAACCAAAATCCGACTGGTCGTCCAGGCGCTGGCGCGACGGAGCAAGCGATGGCTCATGGTGTTGGATAACTATGACGACCCGGATCACTTTACGAGTATTGAGCAATTTATCCCATCTCGTTAGTTACCTTCTTATCCTCACGAAACTAGCTAACTTATCCAACGTAGATAGCATGGGCGACATTCTTGTCACCAGTCGCAGTAAAGGACTGGAAGGACTCGGACGAGTCGTAATAGTACCGCCTATGACGAATCAGGAAGGGATAGAACTCCTCTTATACGACTATCTAACGTCTGAGGTAGACGCTCATCGGGAGAGATGTAGTAAGATCGTTGAACGGCTAGGCGGGTTACCTCTCGCCCTCGATTAGGTAGCAGCCTTTATCCGATACAAGCAGCTCGCGTTAGATCAGCTCGACGAGTTCTTGAGCTTGTATGAGGTATAACGCGAACAGGTGTTACGATATACGCCCCGGCGATTCTGGAAATACGGCACGGTACAAGTCGACGGGAAAGAAGAAGACAACCGGGCGATTAGCGCATTCACGACGTGGGAGATGTCATTTCAGCAGTTGGAAGAAGACGAGGCGCGGAGGGGCGACATTGGGTACTTCTTGACGGTGTCGGCCTTCTTCCAGCCCGACCGGATTGACGAGTCACTGTTCCGCTACCACTGGGAATGGACGCAACCGGCGCCGGCATGGATGAGGATATTTAGTCATGAAGATTCCGGCAGCAACGACTGGTCTCGGTCGTCGGAATCTGACAGAGTCTCCGACAGCGACCCAGAAGGTCCTGCAATGGCTCCGGCAGGATCCGGGTCAGACGCAGAAGACGAGACGCCAGTGGTAGATCGAGAACCGTGGAATGTAGATCTATTTTGGGAGTTGATCTCAAAGGCGTTCGATCTCTCTCTGTTAGATGGCATCGCTGGTGGCGCGTCTATCGATGAGGCACGCTTCTCGTTACATCCGGTGATCTGCGACTGGCTGTAAGTCCGATTGGGGATGGAGGCGACTCACGACTTTATATCTGAGGCAATTGAGATGGCGGCGGACAATGTCCGACGCATAGATGGATCCGTCGACCATTCACTATAAGCGCGAGTGATTCTCCTTAGGTACATAAATATGTGCCTTAAGAATGACAGACGGCTCTATTCGGACGGACAACGAGTGGGACAGGAGTTGAGGAGTTGTGCGGCGGCGGGATGGGTTACATCGTTCTACCATAACCATGGGCGCTATGATGTAGCAGAGGGTCTCTACCGGCAAGTATCCGATACGAGAAGGGAGACGGTTGGGCTAGAAGACCCTTCGACGCTGACGAGCATGGATAACCTAGCCTTGGCGCTGAGCTATTAGGGGAAGTACGCGGAGGCGGAGGAGATGTATCGAGAGACGTTAGAGCTGAGTAAGAAGGTACAAGGGGCGGAGCATCCCTCGACGCTAACGAGCATGAATAACCTAGCTAACGCGCTGAGCGGTCAGGGGAAGTACGCGGAGGCGGAGGAGATGTATCGAGAGACGTTAGAGCTGAGGAGGAAGGTGCTCGGGGAGGAGCATCCTGAGACGCTAACGAGCATGAATAACCTAGCTAACGCGCTGAGCGGTCAGGAGAAGTACGCGGAGGCGGAGGAGATGTATCGAGAGACGTTAGAGCTGAGTAAGAAGGTACAAGGGGCGGAGCATCCCTCGACGCTAACGAGCATGAATAACCTAGCTAA